CAATTGCAGATGCGTTGCCTACCCTTATACGACGGAGGAGAAGACGCACATAAAGAGGATATTTCCCCTTCCTATGCATCTCCTCCACCATCTAATCCACTTCCCCTTCCCCACATCTCCTTATAAGAAAACGGTGGTAAAGAGAAAAGGACTTAAATTAGGATTGTCGATTGTTTCAGCAGTGGCAATGCCCGCTTTAACATCTTAGCACTGCAGGGCACGCCCGGTGTAATACCACGACCACATAGAAGACAGGCGTTTTCCTTAAGCAATTTCGTGTTTTGTCTAATGAGTGTGGTGCCGGAGGCCTAATTTTAGTCCCTTTCTCTTTACCACCCTTTTCTTATAAGGAGAGGATGGGAAGGGGAAGTGGATTTGACGATTGTTTAACACAACTAATTGAGTACTGTGTCCATAAATAGGAATCAAAGTGAGACAGTTGTGCGATAGTTTGGTCAAAGGTGTGCGAACGCTCTAATTGTCAACCCTAACTCCGTTACCGGCGTGTAAAAGGTTGACATTGATGTATTATCCTGAAGAAAAACCACAAACAAAATGAATTAGAACAACATAAATTACTCCGACACACATCTAATTAGGACCCTTATTTCCTTCAGAAATAGTGAAAACATTAAAGTTGTAAAGGTACTTTTCCACTACGAAAACATTTGTAAAAGCATTGTAAGGAACACACGCATATTGCCAGCACTGTTGAGGGGTGGCTAGGGGTACGGAATTTGATATCTCTCAAATGACGATACAAAAATATAAATCAACTAGCTGTAGCTCGCGACTTCGCCCGCGTGAAATAACAAATATAACCTATTACGTTAGTAGTAATCTACGTAATAACAGAAATCTACCGATGCAAGATTCCACATTTCTAAGCCCGGTAGCTTGTAAGCTGATTTTTCGGTTACCCTTATTGTTTGTGTTCGCGATATCTTCTAAACTATTAGTCCAATTTAAATATTGCAAATTACAATTTTATTCTACATTAAATTCTCCTGATAACAAACGCATTTATTTGGATAAGGGTTAATATTGAAACCAATAAAAGAACGCTGCAAATAGGGTGAGGTGTTTAATTCATTTTATAAACAAAAAAGTGGTTATTGTAAGAAAACCGTTAAAGATAGATATTTGTCATCGCGGACTTTTCTGTAGAACTTTTTGAGATCTACAATTCTTTCATACATCATTTTTATATACCTCTAACGGTTTAGGCAGCGTAAGCCGAGAAAAGTTAAAGATTAGTAATTTTTTGACGCCGGCGACTAGAAACACGCTATTTATTAATAGTTCCTAAACATTAGTAATAATAAAATATAGCCTATGTTATTTACAGATAAATTACCTTTCTGACGGTGAAAGAATTTTTAAAAGCTGTCCAGTGGTTTTTGAGTTATTACATACAAAAATGCAAAGTTTCCTCTTTATAATATTAGTATAGAGTATAGATTACATCATTGCGAAAAAAGTATTACTTGATTTATACACTTATCTATAGGTAACTTAATTTATTAGTTTTTTTATTTAAAACTAGCCAGTGCCAGCGATCTCGCCCGTACATATTGTCAATAGTTTTATTACGAGCTCTCTCTCTTGATTATCCGACCGTTCCCCTCTTTCTTTTAGCATCCAATGCCCTGCCCTGCCCTGGAAGATATAGGATTTAACCCACTAAAACCTCGATGGCTTGTGAAATTGATGAAGATACGGGGATCTTTAAGGAATGTATTAAAATTTCCCTGGAGACAACTCCACAGTCTTACAACATTGGACCACTCTAGGCCTTTTGTTAGACCCTTTCCACCCTTATCTTAAGAGGAAGTGGGAAGGAAAAGATTTGACGGTGGAGGAGACACATAAGAAGGGTAAATATCAAATTTCTGCGCGTCTCCTCTGTCGATCAAGGGTAGGCAACGCATCGGCAATTGCGGATATCTATAGGAAGTCGCTTTGCAATTTCGCCGGTTACAGGTGCTTGCTCGTTTGCCACTTTATTGATATAAAAAATTCTCACCTTCTTTCTAAGTTCTGTCAACCCTAAATCAACGACAACTTCACACAGAATTCATAGATGATTAGTATTAAAGATATCTCCGATAACAAACGTATTCGTGGATTACAATAGGATTTCGTGAGATGCGGGCGTTGACCTACATTCCAGAACGTTCCGAAACATTGTTGATATGTCGATTTTTATATTTATTTTAAATTTCCCTACCCCTTAAGAGACTACCCTCTTCTAGTAGTCACGCTTGTGTTCAACTCTTCCTATACTTAACTGTTACAGGTGTATATATAACACAGACAAACGGCTTGTCTCCTTTGTCGTATATATATGGACAAAGGAATATTTTCTATAGGCATTTTGCAATAAAAGCCTTTTCTACCTAGCCTAGATATCACAAACTATTAATACAATAAGACAGAGTACTCTAGGTATTCAGAATTCAGATATTCTGATAGAGATGTATGAGTACATACTGTACACTACGTAAGGAAAGTATGTATTGTGTTGAAGATATGCTAGAGAAGGGAATTCAGATATTCAGATAGAGATGTAAGAGTACATACTGTACACTACGTAAGGGAAAGTATGTATTGTGTTGAAGATATTCTAGAGAAGGGAATTCAGATATTCAGATAGAGATGTAAGAGTACATACTGTACACTACGTAAGGGAAAGTATGTATTGTGTTGAAGATATGCTAGAGAAGAGAATTCAGATATTCAGATAGAGATGTAAGAGTACATACTGTACACTACGTAAGGGAAAGTATGTATTGTGTTGAAGATATGCTAGAGAAGGGAATTCAGATATTCAGATAGAGATGTAAGAGTACATACTGTACACTACGTAAGGAAAGTATGTATTGTGTTGAAGATATGCTAGAGAAGAGAATTCAGATATTCTGATAGAGATGTAAGAGTACATACTGTACAC